TGTGTGCCGGGTGGGGAAGGAGGTGGTGGAAAAAGAGACATTTCATTCGCCAGAAAGGCTGATGGAATTTCTGTTTTAAACACTGGACATTTATTTGGAGCCTTTAGAGCCCATACATTATTGAATAATTTTAATTTATCACATCCAAATATATTAGGCAAATATATAGTACAATAAATTGCATTTGTACACATAAATACAAAATTTGAGGTAGGGCCTCAAGAATAATGATTTCTGAAATTAACAACATACAGCAATATAATATGCACTACATGAGATATAGATGATGCATTCTTTGTAACATAATATATCTTTTGCACATACAGCTAATGAAAAACTTGTCATGATCTGGTTAGGGTACAAATCTTTATCCATAGGCAGCAGTACCCCATAGAATGCCTGTAAATATATATATATATATATATATTTATATATGACATTACGCAAGTAATTAAGATTTAACCCATCAGCGATGGGTCCGTAATAAAGTGCCATAGGACACAGGGAGCAAATTCTCAGCTGCTGTAAAYTGTCACAGCTCCAGACAAAGCTGTGACAATTTATACCAGCCAAGCATCTACCTTACAAGGTAATACCACATAATATAAAGGACAGGTAACAACGTGTTTTAGTCAATTTTCCTAACAATGGAAGGTAGCTATAAGGCAAATGGTTACCTGAAGATGTRTTTCAATGTTACGGGCAAATAAAGATATTGCAAGCATTAAGATCCAGCCTGGTTCTCACATTATGTTAAATCCCTCAGGAAAACCTTCTCTCTTTGGTGATAGGGTGCCTGAGGGGGACAAAGGCCGACACCCCAATACCTCTACCCCTCCACCTGGAGCCCAGAGCTCCTCAGGAATATCAAGCTCTGACCATTTTACGGGTACCTTGGGTAAAAAACTGCAGGTACCATTTAGCCACAAACCAACAAACAACAACAGCAGAACAGGGAAGCACTCTGGTATGCCTCTGGCCAAAAGCTCTGCTGTCTGCAGCCCACAATCCCTACAAGCCTGKCCTTGATTGCAAGAAATGGAGCTGCAGAGAAAGAAACCCACAGGAAACCAGTGACCGCCATACATAAACATTGCTTTAACACGGGCAAAAAGAAACGGCATTATCCATACGATTGTACAAAACAGAAAGACCAAAGGTATTAAAAATCAATCAGGTGTTGGACTTTGATGGCAAGAGAGAGTCACACAGTGCATCAGAAGCTGTGATCTTCGGTGTGGAGGCACATCTAATGTGGTCAGYGGAGCAGAAACAAATCAAAAGGCTACTTGGACTCAATTGAAACATCATATAAAGACAATCCAAGTCTTTCTCAATTAAAGGTCATTTTGTTAAACCCTTCTTTTGGAAACAAAGTGCTGCCTTGTCTAGCTGAAACACAGGTTTTGAACATTGCATATTAAAAACACTAGGAAGACCCCAAAGAATTTGAAGATGGCAAGCATTTGCATTAGGTATAATCTTTAATGCATACAATAATGCATCTCAGCTCATCCAGAAATTCAATTTCATTTCAAAGAAAAAATATGCATCATAATTTCACCAAATTTAAACATTTTTTACTCACAAGATAGATAGATCTGAAAGTACATACATCACATTTTTACTAATATGGCTTTTTCCCCTCCTTTTTTTTTCTTTTAAAGATCTTTACATTATGCTATTAGTTACTAAATTTATTTTTAGAAAATTATCAAAGTGCATGCAAACTTTTCTTAGAACATGGTAAATGAAGTGCATTCCCAAACTTCAAGGTAATTTCTTATTTCAAGAAGACACTGCTGGTTAATTTAATCTCAACTTTCAGATTTGGACAGTAAAATACTTTAGAAAAAGTCTAATGTGACAAAAAAAAAAATCCTGCTTTTCACATACAGTGGAAACTTCATATCTATGATTTTTGTATGCATTTCTCCTATTTTCCAAAGGTTTTTGCAAGCCTAGCAATGGGGTCAAAGCTGAAGACAAAGATCAGCTAGCAAAAAAAATCACTATCATCTGTTTACGGAGTTTCAAATTCAAGCCTAATCCTGTGCTAATGACTTAGCAGGCACAGGAGCAACATCTAAATTAAAAGCGAGCAGATTAATTACATAAATCATGGAAAGCAGTTCAGTTGCAATTTCATATGCAGTCTGGTTTGGTAATCCAAGCCAGAAGATATCATTCCCCAGCAGTATTCCCTCAAATGGTTTYTGTTTCCTGATTCAGGTAGGCAGGAACTGACATCCTTGCACTGAGGGAACTTTGTGTTAATCCCAGTTCCAGAGGATGTCTTGAGACAAGCCAGGGAATGAAAGGACTCAGCACACTTAAAATATTTGACTGTTTTCTCTTTTTCAAAAAGGACCAAACCTGTGGATATTCATTGTTGTTGTTCTTTAGTAACAATGGTAGGGAAGACAAGCTGGCTTGGACTCCAAAAATCCAACCAAGATGAGAGGGAATATTGATCAAGAGAGACCCAAAGCGATTTATCCCAAGCTAATTCCTGCTAGTGGTGCTGACTTAGGATCACAGAATCATTAGGTACCTTTCTGCACCCAGGAAAGGTCCCTCAGTCCCACTGAGACATGGGAACCAAATTCCCAGCTCATCCTTTTGGACCTTTACGAGGTCAGACAGAGCATGGCTTCTCAAACCTGCCTCTGCCAGGAAAATAAAAGCCAGAATTGAGAACAGCAAGAGCAGATAAAGCTGAAACGAGGGGGAAGAGCTTTAAGGCAGAGAAGCTCACAGGAGGGTCCTGCCCTGCTGCAGGGTGGGACAGGGACCTGCAAGAGCCCGTGGAGCAGAGATCCAGGGGTCAGTGCAGAATGGGGTGGAATCTGCCCTCCCTGCCAGCGCTTCCCYTGCTCTGTGTGAGGATTAAAGGTCTCCAGCAGTGCCTAGGACTGGCAACACCAACTGCCCCGTGAAAGAGGAAGTTCAGCAAAATGATTAATATATTTCATATACATATATATATACACACACACACACAGAGAAAAGGAGTTAGCGATTKGTGGAAGTGTTTACTTTAAGGTTTAGTTTTTTGTGTTTTTCTTTGACAGGATGAAACGACACACCTACTGATCTACGGACACACATGAGCTGAGGATTTACCTGAGACCCTGTAACATGGAGACAGACAGACAAAAGAACAGGATAGAAACAGTCCCCTGAAAGGAAAGAACATTTACAGGCAACTGCAGTAGTGTCTGTGGGGAGGAAAGACTGGCTAAACTACTCTAAGCTCATCATCTCTACACTGATTGGTAAGATATTTATAGGGACATAAAACATCACTAGCACACACTACGTGAACACTGACCACTGTTAAAAAATATCATATATGTATGTATAGGATATAACAAGATATATAAAGGTTAAGTTTTGCCAATTATTGAAGATATATTTTTCTCCCTCATTCTAGTGCATTTACAGTAAGTTGGGCTAACTTTCTATTTAGGTAAATAAATGTACTCTTAAAAAGCTCTATTTTTTTACTCTGCCCAATAGGTAACAAAACTATATAGGTYTAATATTCATATGACTGATTTATGACATATATATCTGATTTCTAAAATATAATGATTTAGGATGTCCTACTGCTGTGTAATGTTATAATGGCCATCCACTAAATTGTTCTCTCCCCCAACCCTTGCATTTTCTATGTCTAATGTTAAATCTGTGTGGATGACTGCAGTGGTTAATTATAATTATTGTGGATTTGGGGTTTTTTTTACTAAATGGAAATGCTTTACTGAAAAAAAAAATAAACCCGATGCAGATTTCAGAGASAATACTGCTTTGAAGAATTTATGTCCTATATATAATAGGTCCTGCTATTTCCCCGTTGGTTGAAAGAGAAGAATACACCATCTAAAGGTTATAGGTTATATAAAGATGTTTATAGGCAAATGAACGGGGAGTTACGAAGTTGAAAGCACATCTAACCTCTAATAACTGTTTTCAGGTGGTAACTAGACTACACTTACCACTKTAAGAATATAAAGTTAGGCACAAATTATATGATGGCTTCTTGAGGAGACGCTGTAAACAAAAGCAGAGAAACAAGGGGAATTATGTCCGGAGTATTGGAGTGAAGTGAGTCAAACCACAGGTGCACTTGGCATGGAGCAACTTTTCAGACACTTTGTAAAACTGAGGCATTCCTAGCTGAAACGACTGATGTCAAATTATCAAAAGAAAGATATGACAGTACTTTAAACTTTGGGAAATGCCCATACACCTCATTCTGGCCCCATTTCCAGACCATTTCCAGACTCAAATGCAGTTTAGTCCCACGCTCAACGGATCACTTTTTACAATTTTGTTCTTATTTTTCCCCTWGAAAAGATCAAATGGATTCTGGTGTTTTTGTTCTGACCCCACAAATTGCTTCCTGGTGTGCTATTTAAAGGGTCTCCACCTGTTTAAATAACCTGACAACCCCTCTAAGTTAGTAAAAATCCTAAAGGAAGCGTGCAGACACAATGGGTCAAGGTTGGCTGTCAGTGTAGAAAATGAAGCCCGCTTGCTATAGGAGCCTCATGCTGAATTTACACCAGAACTACAGCAGATCCCATGCTTTGCTYACTTCCCTCACATTTGAGGGCTGAACCTCAAATTGGAATACCCTGGCAGCAAAATCCCTGTTCCAAGAGTGCCTGTGGGAAAGGGGTCACACTGCACACATCATTTCCTCTAMAGGTTTTTTCAGTCTGGTTTTGCTCATTCCTACATCACGGGTTATGTCACCTGTCACACACGGGGCTTTTGCTGTGGCACAGAACACACCACGGGCATCCCATGCACCTGGAAGTGGTCYAGTTAAGCCTTCCCTATGGCATGCACCTCCTGCTTCCCTAAGCAACCACTTTCAGGCACTGCAGGAAAGAAAAGAAAAAATGGCAAGGGAAAAAAAAATGGGAAAAAAAACCAACCCCAAACCGGAAAAGGATGACAATGCTATTGCCACCCGTGTGTGATGGTTCTTAGCACTGGGTCCCCAGCTCCATGTCCTTCACTGGCAGTTTGAGGCCCAGGGAGGAGGTTCCCAGYGGGTCCATCATGTTCCTGTAGCGTTCACCGCGGTGCTTGGCCAGGAAGGGACCCCAGTCGGGCTGCGGGGAGCACACCAGCTTGAGCCTCTGCAGGGGGAGTGAAAGAAAAAAAGAGAGTCACTGGGGGTCACAGAGTATGGCCACACCGCACAGCGAGCCACCACGGGCTGATTTGGGATTATTGATGATGGCCTGGCAATGCTCGGCTGCTCGGCGCTTGTTTTGCACGAGTTTTCAAGATTAACAGAGGATGGAGCACCCAGGTTTTAATTATATATTCAGAGCCACTGCTACAGACTGTGAGGCTCTCCTGYTGAAGGACACGTGCACAATCACTCAGCCCGATGGGCTAAGCACTGGGTAAATGCATTAAAATAATTGGGTTTCTATTTAGCATATTTCCCAAAAGTATACAAAGGATCAAAAAAGTTGTACATCACTGTGAGCGAACAGAGATTTTAATTTTGAAATGGCAAAATGTTTTGTTTCTATCTGCAGGAAAAAAAAGAAAGAGGGGAATGTTAACACGGCAAACAAAATTTTTCTGACCTTTCCACTGAGTTCTTTATTGAATATATAATTTGATCGGTGCGTTCAGATATAAAGGAAAGAAAACATATTTCTGATGACTTAAGAGGGAACAATTATATGTTTATTACCTAATAAAGTGAATCAGACCTCTCTATCAGTTATTTKAATCTCTGCTTAATTACCAGTTTGCAACTTTTACCTCCCAAATCAACCATAATAATTTCATGCAGCAGACTCAATACTGAGGAAATACCAGACTACAGCTGAAATGTTTTCAGCAAAAGCCCTTTTAACAGACCCAGCTCCTGGGTGTTTCTTTGGGTGCACACCTGGGGGGGCAGTGAGGAAAACACCCGTTTTTTGTGGCAATAGATATCTGTCAGCTGTACACACAAAAAGTTTCGCAGCAGAACCATTTGTCTCAGCGAGAGAAACTTGTGGGCCGATTGGAGCAATAAATCCGATTCCACAGTGGCTCATTCCCAGCAGGAGCAGCTTTCTCTTACTCCAGATGCTCCAACCTGCTGCACCCTGGCTGAATGACCCTTTGGGCAAGTGGCCTTGTTGCCTGCAGCCAGCCTTGTGCTGGGATCCCTCCCCAGAGTGTCCCATCTCTGAAAATTCCTCTCTCACAAAATTCCTTTGCTCTACGGGAAGCAGAGGAGCACGGCATTTCCCCTTAGGCATGTGCAGCGTGACACACTGAGAGACCAACAAGATTGTGCTATTTCAGTACATTTTCTCTCCTTTTCATCCCTGAAGCGAGGAACAGCCCCGGTGGGATTTGCAGGGGAAGCTGAACTGCAAAAGCGGCTCCAGAAAGGGGAGCGAGAGTCTGTTCCTGCTCCCAAGGTGGGAGCAGCACAAGCAGCAGGCAGMGGGGAGAAGGCAGAGCTGAGAAAGCCTCAAAAACCTAAAATAAGAGAGATCTAAAATAGGAGACAGGGCAAGGACACGCAGGGGGGAAATGCTGACACTGCTGTACCCACCCTGCCAGGGACAGAAGGGCAGMGGGATGGGGACAGCCAGGGAGAGGGGGGTGACAGAAAGGGACAGCACGCAGGGAGGGGGAGCAGGAGGGCACCACCACATCTCTGTGAAGTTTCAGGAACCTGGTTTGCAAAATAAACAAAAGCAGCTTAAATTAAAAATAAATTGCCACCTGGAATTATTTTAAGGGCAGGTGCCAGAAAGGAGCAGCTGATTCAAGAAGAATGAAGAGATGGGTGAAAGCAAAGATTGCCAGCTGGGTTTCATGTTGAACACCTTTTGCAAAAAAGGCCAACAAAGCCAGAACAAYTTCCTTCCAGTAAAGCCATGCAAAACCTCATGAGGTTTGTCTAGAACCCATAAAACAAACCACTCCACACTTTGGGACTATGTTTTTTGAGAAACAAGGAATGGAAGGTGTCCACTTTCAATCAACTCTTTGCAACACAACTCGTTCACCAGAAAGTAATCTTAACGTTATTAGATGTTCAATAGCACAGAAATCAATGTAAAATAAAAGAGATGGTCTCCAGCAGCCATATTTTCAAAGACCAAAAAGGCAGAAGGATTACCTCAATGAATTTGCCCGGGGCTAGGTGCATTTTGATCACAAACATGACGGGGATCCAGATGACTGAGCAGGCCAGCATCAGCCACCCGAGCACCATGGACCAGCCTGGGTAGTGGTAGGCGCCGTAAGTCATGGGCTCCCACTGGTAAAAACTGAAGCAGAGGATGAACTGGGAACAAGAAAGGAAAACAAAAGTGTTTGAACCATCAAAACGAGCCTGCTCTGCAACAAATGAGGATCTGGTGTCTGTGGAATACAGAAAAAAGCACCAACACCCAAGGCAGGGTGCTGCCACAYGCTGTAATAAATGGGTCAGAGCCTGCAGATAATGAGTTTCAGGGAAATCTTGCAAAATCCCACAAAAATCACTGTATTTGCGGCAGAATAATTGAAATTAGAATCTTGTCCCCTGAGTAAGGTGCTTTATTTCATGGTCTGTTGGCAGTTTTACCTAATGTGATTATGCTAAGTGACTYGGTTTCCCTCACTGTATGAACAGCAATACATCTGCTTACATTTGTGCATAATTCAGGAACTTTTGGGAAATGGCAGTGCTTGCAATAATTGCACACAGAAGATTTATAGAACTGTAACTAGGTGAAGGCACATGTAAAAATGATCAGCTTTAGTTCCAGAGATGTGGAGTTTAATGAAAGTCTAATATTAGGCTATACAAATGTATCAAATATTAGCTTTACAGAGGCAATAATAGAAAATAATTCATCGTTTGCTTTTGCTTTGCCTGTTTCCATTGCATAAAAATTGAATTATGGCTGATCAGTGCCAATTTATTTCTCACTGTAAGTTCACTAAATATTGCATTTGGAGGGAACAACAACAGAACATGCAAGTTTAGAGAGTAAACATGGTCAGTTCAAATTTGTTTTCCTTAACAAACAACACAATTTCCTATTCCCTGGTTGTGATTACTGACAGTAGCAACGAGCACAAGCCTGATTAGTAAAGGATCTGAGCAATTTACAGAAAAGCCTTACAATTCCCTTCAGAAGTGTAAAACAGGGTCTAAGGCAGCATCGTGGAAATTACCATTGGAAGGAAAAAAGAGATAAAAAATCCCATGTGCACATGCCTTCATTTTTAACAGGGTCCCCTAGAGAAAAAAAACCCACATTGCTATTGATGTCCTCCTAATGCCATAGATTAAACTGGACTGTGTCTTCAGACTGTTAAATAAAAGGGATTTATAAATTATAGCCATCCATTGTCACAATCAACCAGCAGTTGCCACCAGGTAGTTAAGATAGATCTACCTCGCTCTCTGGCACTGTGAAAGTAGTTCAGTGAAGACATTTGGTGGAGAAAATCTATGTGAGAAAAGTAGAATACCTTCGTTTTACCCATTGGAGAAATTATTCTGACATAGAAAATATTGTTTTCTCATAACTCGGGATTTTGTTGAGCTAATCAAAACTCACTGGCCTATTCACATCTGTATTCCT